CATTTTTTGCACTTCTGCTTGAGTGTGTATAATTGTGTGTGTACTTTAATTGGAAATTTAAAAGAACGCGAAACTCGAACAGGCATATAGTACATGAGCACCCTTACCTAGTATTTGCAGTATCTGCAGCTTCTCCCTTGTTAATTTGTTGATACATTGATATCAGCGTTATGAAATAAACGGCACCGAACACAATAATTTATAGATCAAAATCACCGTCAGTTTAATAACGCAATGTAAATTTGAAAAGTTTATCAGATCTACAGATGCACCCGCACTAAGAGAAAAATGTCGAATAGTAAAAGTGCATATGTTTGTCCCAAGCATCAGGCGCGAAGAGGCCGGAGTGGCAGCCNGGCTCGCCGTGACCGATAAAAATCTGTTCACCCTCCCATAAAAAGTTATCACTTCAAAAATCTACTGATTTATCTTGATCATCAATTAAACGTTTATTACATTTAGTTTATCGGTTGTGTTTGACAAAGAGAACAATGGTATATAAAACATCATTAACAGAATTCATTATGTTTTTCACTTGTAGCTTTAAATATATTTGTTATTATTTTCGTTTTGATGATAAATAAGAATTGTTCTTCCTTTTTTTATCGGTTACATAAATCTCTAGTTGATATGGGTGTTTTCTTGAGTCAATATTGCATGTAAATAATGATCATCAGACCATTGTGCATTGCTTAATTATGACGAAAAAACCGACGCCAAAATATTTCAAGCAACCTGGGCAGGCAAGTAGCCAACAAATATGAGCCCATCATATACTTCTATTGTATAACAGTGGCAAAAAGAAAAAATGCGTCAATACCGAAATCAGGCAAAATTCTTACCGTCCCTTTGAAATAAGGACGAGCTTAGGACAAAAGCCGATCAATAGGAAACCGAGGTTTAGTTTTCTTTGTTTTCTGAACTTTTTAAATATTTGTGTTGGGAACTTTTTAACTGTTTAGGAAGAGTTTTTTAATTATCTGATTATCATTGCTTTTGATAATTTTGGCTCTTTAATTTTTTTTGAAAACGCTAATGTTATCAATTGAGTGATAACTTACCAAATCTTTATGCAATTCTTTGGACACCACACTGGAGATTTTAAATACTCCTACGAAAATAAAAAAGGTACCCAAAAGGACAGATACGGTCCTAAGTACTGGAGAATTCATGATTTCGTTGCACTAAATACACTGTTTGGACAAAACACTATCACCGTTCCGGACTTTGCTTTATATTCGCTATTTGGATATATATGTTTTACATCCGTGCTACTAATTTAGGTACACATTTTCTGTTTTATTCGGCCCTTATTTTTGTTTTTCGCTTCTCATACAGGCAGAGAATAATTAACATTATTTTCGAAAGAGTATGCGCGTAATTCTGCGATCAATACGAGCGTCGCTTTATACTAAAAATATTTTCCCGAGTCCGTACAAAAATTGAAACATTTTATACGTTTTGCCATTGATTCGAAGCAATGTTACATGCATCTTGAAATCGATTAATGAATCACTATTAATAAATTCAATTAAACTAATGAGTGAAACGTTTTATATTAATAGATCTTATGGTCGAATTTTAGTTGGTAGAGGGCAACTTTTCATACAGTTGTTTGTATGATAAGTTGGCGCGCTAATTTTTTTCAAATCTATAGGATGTTTAGAGCATAAAATAGAGGAAAGGAGAACAAATATCAAACCTGTTTGAGAAGCCAGAGCATGCAATACAGGATACTGATAAGAAATTGCAAGCAGAAGTTCGTAGAAAGATTGGTCCAAAGAAGAACGAAGCATGGAAAAGACTGTTCAAGAATTAACTCACAACTAGGAGGAACACAAAGCACGGAAAGCTGGAGAATATTTGAAAATATGAGAACAGGAACAAGAAGATAAATAATATCCCCAAAAATTCTTAAGAAATAGGAAGGCTATTTTACAGACAGCTTCTAATGGCAGTCTAACTTGATGAAACACCAAGAAATTTTAGGTTTGTAGGAAGCTCCATCAGGGTAACAATAGAGGCAATAAAAAAACAACTCAACTGCCTAAACAATGGAAAAGTGCCCAGCCCTGGCAGTATAGTTAATGAAACAAGATTTGGGCAAAAATGGAAACATGATCCAAAAACTCTTTCAAAAGTGTCTCAACAATTAAACTATATCAGCAGAGTGAAAAATTCCTTATCTAACCACCTTGTTTAAAAGAGGAGACAGAAGCAGCTGGGAAAATTATCGAGGAATAGAAGTAACAGGCACAATCAGCTAGCAAAATCATTTGAAAAAAAACGCATAGAACCAGGATCTTCACTTGCTTTTCGTAGACCTACGGAAGGCATATGGCCCTGTGAGTCGCTTCAAAAGCTGTGGAAATCGCGCGAACAAACCAGCAATAATATGGACTCAATATGGAGGTAATAAATACGGTAGAATATCTATATGAACAGCGAATTAACAATTACTAAACTAATTTATTATTCAATTTTGTGCGTCAGAAGCGTTACAGCGCTAGGAGAAAGGCGCAATGTATCAGTGTACCATTAAAAAAGTAATATTTTAGAGTAATTTTTTTTGTCTCAAATTTCTCGTTTATTTTAAATGGCTTCACAAATTGGTTGAAATTATACAAAATGTTCCACAAAAGTTACAATGAAAGTTATGTTTTTGAAAAGGAACCCCTATATTAAATTATTATCTAAATTCTATAAAAAAAATATATTTTTTTATTTTCGCGTGTGTTTTATTAGCGCACACTATGAACCTTTTTGTCATTTAATGTACAAAAATTTAAAAATGTAACATAATGCTAACAAGTGGAAAGAAGCCAGAATTTGTTAATGCAATATCGCGATTCGATTTCTAACGAATTCTTTGAATCTTTTTTAAGGTATTTTTAATTTCCCGGAAAAAATCTGTACTGGGATGCAAAAATTAATATACCTTCAGTGAGTGTGATTTTCAACTTCCCCATCTACATATAAACTTTGTCCAATACCTATTTAAATTAAAGCTTGAACTTAAAAGAATAAATAAGAAGAATGGTAATTGATGCAAAATTATGAGTTTTATTTTGTTACATTCTTTAAACTTGTATAAACATTTACAGTGTAATATACGGTTTCCTTGTTTGTTTCACTTATTATCATTTTTTATTAAACATTCTAGTTATTTTTTTTTCAAAATGTACGGAAAACTAGGAATTTTTTAGTGACCATCTAGGGATTGGAATTTTACCGATCTGGCATCACTCACTGGTATGTAAGGTCGTAATGTTTCAACGTATGAATATCCACAACACAAAAAAATGGTTTTAAAGTTAGGTAACTTTCGACTCAAATTCTCTGAGAAAAGCTTTAGCAAAAATAGACCAGAATTGCCCAGAGGAACAAAACAAATTGATTTTTTTCGGATCTTGAGGTAGTAGGGGAGGAAAATGCTTATTTTTGTTATTTTTTGCGACTGTGTTCATTATAACCAGGTGGATCAATAATTATATGTATAAAACGTATTGAAACTCTCTAAAACCCAAACAGTTTTTACAAATTACTCAATTCGTTTTCAACACCTTGTACAGAGTAGGCAAAATTTATCATTTTTACGGATTATTTCGGAAATCATATGGTTGGTTCAGCTTAATTTTTGGAGCAAAATAATCCCTTGTTACTTTTCATTGAGATACAAGGTAAAGGTGAAAATATGGCGTTATCAACTTTTTTAGCTCTTTTATTACTGAAAATATTTTAAAAAATTTATAGATAGTCAATTGTACAGAAATATTTTTTTTACATAAATTAAAAAATATAATTTTGGGTTTTTCATGGACCGCGATGTATATTTTAACACTATTAAATAGCCCTGCTCTAAGTTTTTTTATGAGTTTGTAATCGTATTGTACTCTATAACGGTTTCTGCATGATTGCTGCGGTTTTCGAAATATCCGTAAAAACCACTTTGTTTGCACACTTTGTATATTTTATACCTAAGCAGCAAAGTTTCGTCGCTTTATCTGATTTTTACTGTATGAGATTAATCTGGTTGTTAATTATATTTGGTACGAAAAATGTTAGCACAATGAAATAATATACACAGACGAACTCAAGCGTGTGGCTTTATTTTAGATTATATTCCAAAACTGAGAACGGATCTGCACACGCATACGGTGAGCAGCAACACAGCACACCTGTTGACAACTTAAACTATAGATTTACAGACTTTTACGCCCGAAATAAAATAATTTCATAGTAACACTGAGCTATTATGTGGCTTCTGATCATTTTGAAACAATATCTGACAAAGTTAGTACATCAAAAATTGGATTCTGGTAAATACAGTTATTGTATGTGAATCGAAATTCCGAACGAGCGTAAACGCACAGTTTTTTTTAATCTGCCTTCAAATCTTGCTCACCTGAATATGTGTATGGTTCGTGTGTTTCGATAATTTCAAATACATTGTAACTCCATCAATCAATCACATAAAGTAAAAATTTCAATCTCGATATTGGAGTGATTGGTACCGTTTCGTACATCCTTACTTAACTGGTTGGTCCTAGACCATAGTTCTTCTTTTTCTCGCCATTCTTAACATAGTGCACAGACAAGAGATAGATAGATAATATAGTGATAATTATACCGTTAGAAGTACTAATGATAATTTAATCTGCTTGATAACGTAAATTGCATATAATTTCTAGAAAGATTCCAGATTTCTATTTTGGCACGCTGTATTGGTCACGTGCACAGACCAACAATCTAGATCATGCGATATTCGCCAATCAAAAGAACCAATCGGCTGATCGGAACGCGTTTGTAGTAAAACGAATAGACATTGACAGGGAGTCGTTAAAATTCCAAATGCCACTGTCCGTGTTTGTGCATAACAGCACAACGCTTTAACGCTTAGAGAAAAATTCTGATAAGAAAACGTTTCTTGCCGGTTTCGTTACACAAAGAAAAGCTGTAGAAATATATGATATTTAGCATAAGTTAAGTAAGCTAGGAAGATGGATGCTTTACCGCAAAGCTTATCTCTGTTCATTACTCACGTGGACAAAGAAGGTCCCTTTCTAAAAGTGTGGGGGCAAACCGAAAAAAACAATTCAATTTATGTGGAACAATTTCTGCTGAGTGCCTCCCAACAATTCGACCAGGGCATCGGCGTTCTGCCATTCGAAGCTTTACAAGTCAACACTCTGGTATGCGCCAAATATAAAGACAACAAGTATTACAGGTAATGTTTATCGTTCTTAAAAAGGGGCAAATTTTACTGTTTTCTCTGGTGAACAACCAATTCTCGTAAAGTTTTAGTGTTTTTGTAACCTCGAAAGTATAATGCGTCTATTTTAATCAATCTAATTTCTAAATTATTCATTAAACCCTACTTAAATGCTTTGCTTTCGACGGGTCTTAACGCGAAATTAAATGTTTGCACCATAAGAATACCCTGTATATACAATTTGAGGATCAACTGATCGTATATAAGACCAAGTAGCTTAGTATTAGTACCTTGTGAGCCCTGCATCAAATTATCCATATGTCCAATACATTTCTGCAAAGAAGATATAATTCACTAAATTACTTTGGTCAGGGTCAAAGATATGCCGCCCATTAACTGTTATTTTGTCATGCATCTGGTTAGCGTTTAAATAACTACTTTTCTTTTTTGGAACAGAAATAGCGCCATCGACATTAAGATCATTACAATTCAGTATTATTACAAACTGAACGTATATACCTACATATTCTACAGCGAAAAACATTCGGGAGCGAAAATATCATATACCTACCCTACCCACATAAGTGTCGTCTATCGGAGGTAGCGGCTCTTAAAAGGACGTTTCATAAACAATAATTTATTATTTAAATTGTTAACAACAGATAAAACTTGGTATACATGTTAGGTCTCATATGCTCAATTAACCTAAGGACAACAAAGTTTGAGTAATTGCCTCGTTTAATAAGCTTGTGATACTTTGTGATTAGCAAATTGCAAAATTACTACTCGTTGAGGGAGTGCAAATTTAAGAGCCGCCTACCGCCGTTAAGCGAGACTTTTGGACTATAGGGTATATAACTTGCCTTTAAAGCCTCGCAGGTTGAAATTGGACCACCCTGTATACTGATGCATATTCATAAGTAAACGCAATTAGCTTTAATTTTAACGGATTAAGAATGCACTGATTCGAATGGGAATTAAAACCTAATTTATTATACAGGGTGTCCCGTAAGCACGTGATCAAAAGGGCACAGCGACATTCTTTGGCTTAAAAGACAACAATCTGACTTTTAGTCAAGTTTTATTAACAAAAAGTGTCTAGCAACCCTGATTTGATGGTCAAAGTTCTTCCAATTTTTTTTTTGAATATGTATCTGGATATGTAGTTCTCCCGCACTCGATCGTTTCAGCAAAATATCAATTCTACATAAGAACAAATTCACAGCAAGTTTCATTAAAATACATCATACCATTCTCCCGATATTTAAAAAGATATATATTTTTTGAAGAACTTTGACCATCAATAGCAGAGTGGCCAGAAAATTTTTCTGATTAAAAGTTAGGCCAGATTCTCAATCGTCTTCTTGTGAAACAAACAATCTCGCAGTATTCTTTTGATAAAGTGTTTACAGGCAACTGTGTAAAACAACTTATTCTTGTTAATACAGGGTGAGTCAGCTGTGTACCTGTGCAGTTCTTGTAGTTTAATTGTGGAAAATGTTATCAAAACAAGTTTCAAATAAAAGTTCCCTATACGTAGTCGCTACGTATTTTTATGGAACAACCTTAATTTCATTTTATTTATGAAATATTCAATAAATGCTGTAGAAGTGTTCTTAAACATGTTATATCCCTAAGCCTTACMATTTTCTATTCATGAATGGTTTATAAAAAATAYTATAAAGCTAACATAGAAAATAAATAGGCATTATTTCWACGTACGAAATTTCAAACTCCACTATGTGTATCATACTTGCAYGTGCATTTCTATTACTTTAYCGCAAAAATGATATTTCCAAATTTCTGTTACATGATGGCACTGGACTCATTCATAAAATWSAGTAAAAATCGTGGTAATAMTCAAAACGTTTTTATATTAAACATAAAATTTTCTATTTAAGTACTTCAAGTAAATGTTTATAGAGAAAGCAAATTGTACGTGCACAGTCATTAAATAAGTTTACCATAAACTCAAAGCTTTTTTTATTCATAGGAACATAATATTGGAACATAATCCTCCTAAGTATTTGAAGTATGTGATTTTTATTAGTCAAAACTTCGTTACTTGAAAAACCTTAGAAGTATTACAGTTGCCTAAGCTTAGCGCTTTCTTCATAAGAAAACTCTCGCCGGACTATAATTATAAATTTTATTGACAGTAATTTTGAATAAAATCCGATTTTCTCATTTTGAAAGGAAAAACTTTAAATTGAGTAAAATATCACAGTRAACGTTATCAGAATATTTTCACYTTAACAATATTCAAAATATAGTCCAATTAATGTTCATGATGTAGTGMAAAATACATTAATRAATTAGCGAAGTCAATCAAAYTYAATATTTTCAGTCAAGTTTATACTTATTTAAAKAAAAATCACCCAAGCATTTTCTATCTTCTAGGTCACGTTCAGTCACGATACTTTCAAAATCTAAACGTTTATTCCGCTTCACAGATCGCGACAAATTGATATATTTTTCGATGAAAAATCACAGCTGAAATAAAATCACTGGTGGCCCTTCGGGTTCACCGTGAAAGTTGATGTAGGTAGTTATAAGTAGTTGATTTATCTGCTTTTGAATGTCGGCACTATTTTATTTTCCAGATATTCTTGCTTGCTATACAGGCTGATTGAAAGTCACATCAGATACGAAAGTTTTTCATAAATATCGTTTTAAGTTGTGATTCACTGATTGCCAACGTTTCTGTTTGCAGCTATTCCAAAGCATGATTGACCAACTTTCATTATATTTAGCCTGGTTTAGATCATGCGGAATATACGTATTGAATATTACTTTTTGAACACGAGAGTAATTGATCTCTATACACTTTGAAAAAAATGTGCACTTATCCAAATCTGAAGAGGACGATATTAGACGTATAAACAACAGCAGGATTTTTATTATCTTGTCTGAACATGATGCATTTACGCAAATGTTTGTGGTATTGTTAGTAACTGTTTTTTTGTTATATTTAAGGTCGAGGATATTGAACATTCTACATCCATTCTTCGTTGAGGTGTATTTCATAGATTATGGAAATAAGGATATAGTACCAAGTGACAACATACGAAGTTTACAAACTTTTCCGACATCATTCATTTCCATTCCACCTCTTTCAACAGGTTTTATTATTGCAGAAGCTCATTGTCCAGGTGTGTAAAAAATACAATAACATTATAGTAAAACTGGTAATATGGACAATACCTAGAAAGTAATATGTATCAAGGTAGTACCGAACTTTCATATCCAGACAATCGAATATGTGAACACGTTTGTCGAAATTTGTGCCAAAGCACTTAAAAACCCCTTTCCAATCTGGCATTTGTGATCTCTCATGCGGTTCAAAATTTAATCCTTGGAAATTTATTTTTATTTTTCAAAAATCAGATTTTTAATCAATATTTTGATATGTTTTATAGCATTTAAAATGATTTTTCAAATTTTGGTTTTCTAAAAAATCATAACATCAGGGTAAATGATATTAAAGAAATAAACAAGTGCTTACAGAACAATAAAAAGGGTGAGTGCAAAATAATTTTCTTTCTTAACTGAGCCTGTTATTCAGCCATAACCTACAGCCAAAAAAATATTTTCTTGACTAAAACAGAGTAGCAAATGTGAACCTGTCTTTCTCAAGACCGATTACACAGAATATGACGGCACGTTCCTACTTAATATTTATTTAAATATATTTGTTAAATAATTTGCATTACTTCACATGTCAGCCTAAAATGCTAAAACACATAAAAACGCTTTTATTAAAAATCTCTTAACTTGAAGGTCAATTGATTTATTTCTACTAGGTCTTAGTGAGCAAATGCTCTGAAAAGTCTATTTTTCAATTGTCTACATTTCTCAGAACGTGACGCTTGGCGGATCTGTTGATAGTTTTTTGTTAACGATAATGCTGCCATTTTGATACGAGCGGGTTTTCTTTGAAATTTTGCTTGTAATCAGCTTATGTTGCCTCCGAGATTAAGCCGAGGTCGAAAGGTTCAAAAGGTGACACGGGCATGTGCATTTTTTATAATTAATAGGGGTCACTATTTTAGTGATACTCTAAAAGAGTACGTGAATAGTGCACGCATCCACCAACCTGTCCAATATACAGAGTATTCCCATTTCTAGGGGAAATTTTCAAAATTATCCACCACGCACAGTTCGCGCGAATGGAAGACGATCTAGCGACTGCTGTTTAAATTTACTTGAATATACAGGGTGAGTTTTGAATGCTCTACTCAAAACTAATTTTCGTTTTTCAAAATTTGACAGTCATGACATGTCAAGAGATATTTGAATAAAACTCCTAGTTCAGTCAGTATTAATCTGACATGAAAACATTAAGTAAAAAAGTTTTAGGAAATTGCATTCCAAATAAAATGACATAAGACATTTTTCATTCAAGAAATCATTTTAGATTATCCCTTTATTAAATAGAGCATTCTATTACGATTTCAGTGATATATCATATCGTTAGGCTTTTTCGAAAATTAAGTGATTGTGAATTATTTTTACTGTTTTAATGTAGTTGATCGAAGTTACCCATGGAAAATAGTATATGGCACACAGCAGTGTTTCAATAGTAACAAATAATAACAATTCGAGAGTTCAAAAGTCCGGACGCGAAAATTATAATCACAACTTAAGTTGTAATTAGACACTTGTTTTGTTGACATTGGTGTTTACATCTGAATGTGATCTGTTTCGTTCTAATCAACTTTTGCAAGCTTTTAAAGAAATAGAAACATATCGAAAAGTGTATATGTTTTGTTTTATGTTATAAATGTCATTAATTCCAATAAATAAATAAGTCTGAACTGCCACTCGGGTAATTTGATGTTTCGCAACGCCACCATCGGTAGTTGAACTCGCTATATCGCTAACTCGCTATATCATAACTCGCTAGTCGAACTACTTTAAAATTGGTAATAACTTTATTTTTATTAAGAGGGCAACTCATGTAAAGTATTTATTACAAAACATACTGCAGATAATTAAAATTGAACTCTAAAAACTATAATTTTTATTGCAAAATATTTTCAAAGTGAGGGTTTTATTGTGTTATATAGTGAGAGTTCAGAGCTTTATTATTGAATAAATTGCTTTTCTAACTGACCGACTAACAATATTTTCAATTGTTCCAACAGCTTTTAAAGTTCATTTAAATTGCCATATTTATTTTTATAAACTGTGTTTTTACGGCTCCCCATAAAAAACTGACTGATCCGGTGATCGAGGTGGCCATAAATTACAACCGTTTCTTCCAATCCGAGCGCCAGCAAATTGTTCGTCCAAATGATTCTGCACCTTTGCAAAATTATGCGCAGATGCGGTAATGGGCAATGTTGAAACTATTGCCCATTACGTCGTGTTTCCAAGTCTAAGTCGTTTGAGCATAATATCCAGATGATTCCGGAGGAATTGAAGAGGCCGACTTTAATTTAAGGTGCCTTCAAAAATAAATGTACTAATCATTTTTGATCCCGTCATTCCGTACCAAGCGTTAAGGAGGTTCATCTGGTACGTCTCTAGTCAAAATAAAGTACGCATAGTGTTGTGACTCACTGAATAGTGAAGGAAGTACTTAAATATGATAATTTTTCTTTCCAAATGCTTAGTTATTTCAATAAGCTACTTCTCAAGCATAGGACCTTTTCAAAATAATACGTAATAACAGCGTTTAAACTCGAATTTCAACTGTTAGTATATTATAGAAATTTTCAAAAAAAAATAAATTCTCGTACTCGTAAGTGTATAATTAACACGTAAGTGTATAATTATATAGAGATATAACAATTGTTTCTAAAGCGTGTTATATGTGAGAAACTTTATGGAATGCAATGCAATTAAATGTAACTTTTAGGGGGTGGAGAATGGAAAGAGCAAATATTCGAGGTTATATCGAAAGAGCTGAACTATAGAGAAGTGCGATGTAATTTACTTACTAAGGCCACGAATCACTATCTTGTCAACTTGTACATTGATAGTACTGATCTTAGTTCACTATTTATAAATAGGGGCTTGTTGCAACCTATTCCCCTTCATGCCCAACAAGCTGTTTTGCTCAGTATGAGTTTGCTACAGAAAGTCCCACCGCCATCCGTGGCTCCAATTGCATCTTCAACGGAAATCAACACTTACAAAGCGTGTACTTTGGGTAATATTTGAAAATCTGCTTTGCATGTACATTTTTAAAGAAATTTCATTTTTATTTAGAACCTATGCAGCAGTATGCTGTATATGTTTCATTTGTTAACGAGGGCCCAACTCACTTCTCAGTTCAGTTGCAACAGTCTGAAACCGTATTGGCTAAATTAATGAAAGAAATTAACGAAATTGGTTTACGATTGATGGAAGAAGTACCTCTGCCAGGGACTATCTGCTTAGCGAAATGCCAAGAAGATGATAATGTCTGCAGAGCTGTAGTTACCAATGAAGTCGATAACCAATTTAAGGTATTTTTACTATTTCTGTAAAACTATTTGACGAAACCATATATATACCATGTTCTTGTAGGTGTTTTATGTTGATTTTGGAAACTACGAGATACTGCCCCTTGAAGGTTTATTTCAAATACCGTTCAAATATGTACTACCTAAAGTAATGGCTATTAGAGTGGCGCTAAATGGTGTTGAGAAATCCACAGTTACCATCGACATGCGACTGGCGTTCAAACGATTTGTCGACAATCGGCTTCTTTATATGAAAGTTCTTCCATCCTCAACTAAAACTGTGATTCCCAAATGTGAATTGTGGGATCCCGAGACGAAGACCAGTGCATTAGATGTAATTAATAGGTACAAAAAGAAATTTAATGAATGAAAGCGAATTCATACAAATTTACGAATGTTTTAGAGCTGCTCTACATGCCTACCCAGAGCCACTTATCTTAAACAGGGGATTCACGCAGCCTGTGAAAGTCAGTTATGTATTTAGCTGTAACCGATTCTTTGTTCAATTATTGAGTAAAGAGTCAGAATTGGCAAAGTTAATGAACGACTTGCAAACTGCCTGCCAATCTAGTGACATTATTTCCGATATAAGAATTGGTAATTTTTGTTGCATTATAAGTACTCCTTTTTTAATCAGGGGAGCGGAGCGGCAAAAATAGTGTGCAGACTTATAAAGAATGGAAAACAATTGCTAATTTCCAACCTCTGCACATATCTGTATATCATAAGAAAGATTCTTATATCAAATATACTATTTCAGGCCTACCATGTTGTGCTTTATTTGAATCGGATCAGCTATGGTATCGAAGTGAAATAGTCGATGTAATGGATAGCGAAAATGTTAAGGTCAAATATATAGATTATGGAAATGAAGAATTCATAGCAATTACCCATTTGCGAATGATTGAAGGGGAGCTGGTAATTATTGTTTTTTTTTAATTTATGGTGTTACTTGACACAAATTTTTATGCAAGTACCGTAATTCAGTTCTTTTCTAGTTAACTGTTTTGCGACCTCAGGCCATTGAATGTTGTCTTAATGGTTATCAAAACATGGGTGTTGAAGAAGAAAGAGATGCCCTCTTTGAACATCTGATATTGGAGAAAATATTCTCAATGAAGGCTACTGAAATGTATGGCAAGAAGGTATATAAAACTATGCAAAACTGTATAAATCATATTAACCTTTAATTGATTATTTGTGCACAAAGTTGTAACTTGAAACGTGAGTAATGTGTAATTCCTTTTTAAAGAGCCTCCACATTAATAAGAAGGTATCTTTTTGGGGTTTTATTAACTTCACCGCTCTGAAGAACATTGCCAAAAACCAAATCTAAATATATTTAAACATAGGTATTTCGTAATTCTTTTAGGCACTTGTTGAGCTTATTGACGAAAATAACTACAATGTAGCGTCCTTGTTGCTGGATAAAATCGCAGCGTCAAAGAGTCAAGTAAGCCCAATGTTGGTACACGCCGACAATACGATACAACATA